AGAGTGTGCCCCAACTGGACTTGCAACCAGTGTGCCGCAATCACGTGCAGCCAATGCGGCGGAAGCTTGGCAAGGGCGGCCAACGCAGACTCTTGGTGCAACAACTGCGCCTTCCCGCCATGCCAAGGGGGGTGTGGGCGAGCGCGCCCCCGCAGGGACGAGTACCGCGCCAGACGTTGGCCCTCCTGGGTGTGCCGTGAGTGCGCGCGCAAGCCAAGTGAGACTCCCGGCCAAACGCGCCACAAGCAGGGCTGAGCTTCGACACAAGTCAGACAGGCCGGACCAAAGTTATGCTCAGGTTGCGCAGGGACTTGTCCGCACAAAGGAGTTAAAACTCAAAAGCGAAGTTTCAAGGCAAGTGAGAAAAAACTTCCAGCCACAGGAGCAGAGCCAGCCAGAACGTGGCTCCGGCCATGCGAGCATGCAGCTCGGCCCAAGCGTGCTGCTCGGACAAGCCTAGCTTGGAGCAAGCGTCATTATCGTTCAAGACGTGTTGGCGCGGCAGACAGAAAAAGGCCGTGGCAAACATGTGATGTGATCATTCGAGACACCTCTTCTGCTGTCTGCGTCTCGCTGTCTAGCGGGCCGTTGGCAGTTTTTTTCGTGCTAGGCTTCTGGTCTAACAACCAAGGCTTGTGTTATGATCTCGGTGGGTTTGGTGGTCTCGCAACAAGCCCCCCCCTCAAAAAACCGCTCGGGTTTTTGACTCTGCACGGAAAGTGTTTTAAAAAAAGAAGCCTCAATTTTCCATACATTATCCAGCTGTTTTCCATGCATTTCCATCCTTTGTCCATGCATTCCATCATTTGCTACCCATTTTCCCGCAAGTGTCCATCTATTGCCCACCCATTTTCCGCGAAGTTTCCATCCATTGTCCAGCAATGTTCCATCCATTTTCCATGAAGTTGTCATCCATTTTCCACAATCCATTTCCATCCACCTTTCCCTTCATTTCCCCACATGTCCCTTACCGGCACGGACAGCGCCCCCTGCATGCTCCAGCAACTTTCCATCCAGCTTCCATGAAGTTTCCATCCATTTTCCAGACATTTGCGATCCATTTCCAGTCGCCTTTCCCTTCATTTCCCCACACGTCCCTGAACGGCGTGGACAGCACCCCCTGCATCGACTGCATCATCCCAAGCAATGTCCGCCATGGATGCTCAATCGTTGCACCCTATTGCAATCCTTTTTCCATTCATTCCATCAATGCATTTTCCAGGAACTTTGCATCAATTGTGCACACATTTTCCATCCATCCCCTTTCCCTCCATTTCCCGCATTTTTTTCATCAACGCCCTTCATTTCCATCAATTTTGCATCCTTTTTGTCCATCCTTTTTCCAGCCCATTCCATCCAGCCATTTCCTATGAATTGTTTATGCGCATTCCTTTCCCTTTTCGTTTCCGCTGTCCGGCTCCCTTCACGTTCTGCCCGTGCATTTTCCATGCATCTCGGTTTCTCTCCAGTGCCCGCTTCATTTTCGTGCAATTCCTTTGACATCCATTTTCCAGACATTTCCCATCCATTTCCATTCTGTTGCACCCTGTTGCAATCCTTTTTCCATCCATTCCATCAATGCATTTTCCAGGAACTTTCCATCAATTGTCCACACATTTTCATCCATCCCCTTTCCCTCCATTCCCCGCATTTTTTTCATCAACGCCCCTTCATTTCCATCAATTTTGCATGCTTTTTTCCAGCCCATTCCATCCAGCCATTTCCCATGAATTGTTTATTTGCATTCCTTTCCCTTTTCGTTCCCGCTGTCCGGTTCCCTTCACGCTCTGCCCGTGCATTTTCCCGCATCTCGGTTTCTCTCCAGTGCCCGCTTCATTTTCGTGCAATTCCTTTGACTTGCATTTCGTTCACTTCCAGTCACTCCTGTTTCCTTGCATTTCCCCTTCAGCCCCTTGTTTCGCATCGCCAGCATGCATAGCATCATCCGCATCATCCGGGATGATGCTGGCAATGCTGGGGGTGTTGTCCAGTATTAGGCACCCCCCCAAAAATACTCGTTTTTGGACTCGTTTTTGGATGCTGCGGGGAGATGCTACAAAAATCGCCTAAACCAATCCGCAAATCCTTCGCCCCTTATAAGGGAGGGCCCAGCATAAAACGTATGCGCATGGTCCGCGCATGGTCGGCGGCATGGGGCGCGCGGCCTTATACCTGAAGGTAAGCCCTAACGGGCTTTGGCCTGCGGCCCGATCACGTCCGGTGGCCGGATTTAAGGGCTGCCGCCCAGTGCCGCCGACCCCTTCAATTAAATGAACGAATTCTTGATTCTCCGGTGCGGCGTTCGCGAGCGAGAATCGGGAATGCGCCAATCCATTTTTTCCTGTGGGGGGGGGGGACCTTTTCAGCTGGATGGGCACATTCTTGATTCTCCGGTGCGGCGTTCGCGAGCGAGAATCGGGAATGCGCCAATCCACTTCTTTTTTTTCTTGGGGGGGGGGGGGACCCTTTCAGCTGGATGGGCGCATTCTTGATTCTCCGGTGCGGCGTTCGCGAGCGAGAATCGGGAAATGCGCCAATCCACT